GCTGAACCAGTTTTGACTACAGAGGTCCTGGACTGCATTAATGCCAGAACTGTGTTCTTCAGTCCTGTTGCAGCAAAGAAAAAGCATGGTCTTACAGAGGGGTTGTCAGCTTATAAAAAGCGTCTGCTAAATCACAGCTTGATGCATATGTTCCATCAAAGAGTGCATTAAACCAGGTGTGCTTATGTTGCCCAAGAACACCAACTGAGGCCACTGAAACCTTCCTGCAGCAGGGTAAAGGAAATACCGATGCTTGTACGATGTTTGTATGCAGGGTAGAAAGCATGGTACTTTGCTTGGCAGGAACATAGGACTGTCACATTACAGGTGGTTTACCTAGGGCTAGTTGTCTGAAGGGATGAGCAGTTTCCTGACAGTAGAAGAGTGACATCCCAGTGCAAGCTTACCCATGTTCCTTCCCCACCCTGAGAGCATATTAATGTTTCCAGAAATCAGATGATTCAGAATCAGACATAAGGATTTGTTAACCTGCAATGGAAAGAGTTTACCTTAAGCTGTCCCACTACCATACTGAGTATACAGCTGTCAGGTGTAGGTTGGTGGTCTTGTGCTGTGATGCTGTGTTGTATTTTTTGGAAAGGGAGGCTCTACAACGAGAAAAAAGCAAAATAAGGAAGTGTACAGTCATTGCATTATTTAACTTAGAAAACAAAGATCGAGCAAATCCAAAGTTGTGAAGTGTTAGACTATTTTGGTAGCACTGCACGGAGAGTTGTTGCAACTCGACGCTACTCAGGCCAGGTTGATCATAACAGTTGAGTTTTTCAAGCACCAAGACATGACATAATATGTCACCATATACATTAAGCAGTACCTTTTCCTAGTTCAATTATACTGCTGGAAGAGCTTCAGTTCATCTACAAGCTGAAGGTTCCCCTTTTTTCTTTCCTTCGCAACAGCACCAACACAGCAAGAGGTACCATCTTTGCCATGTTCCAAGCAGGAGGAAAGAAGGAGGTGGAGATCAAAACCACACATACTGAAGAGATAAAAAAGCTCATGTAGCTGATGCAAGTATGTCTGGAGTTAGGTGTGCAAGGAGCACACCTTGAGAAACACCAGACACTGAGGAGTAATTTCTCTCTTTCAGCATAGGCCACATTCACATTCCAACCACAGATGACTCCAAGCGACAAGCCAACAAAGCACCTGGGGATCTCAGAGTCCTGTGGCACAAATGCCATTTTGGCACTGTTCTGTCAAAGCTGCATTAATGGTAGATGCTTTAAAGGGGCAGCTCAGCACAGATGGAGCTCTAAGTGATCAATAGCTGATACCAAGAGTCCACGCACTGCACAGGACAGCAGCATGCAGTCATTTAAACCTCAGGCTGTGCTTTCATATCTTTGCCTCATTTGCCTGATTTGTTACCAGGTCAAGGTAGACCCAAGCATGTACTTCGACAAGTTCTGCATTCCACTCTAGTGGAAGGAGCCTGAAAGATTTTCTAGAAGGCCTAGGTACAAAACCAGGAGACTAGAGTCTTACTGTCAAGTATGTGAAGTACAGACTTGTCCCTGACAAGCATATGGCTTTGGGAAGAATACCAGGAAGCTAAATCCTTGGATAACAGAGAACACAGAAACAGTGGAAGGATCAGTACCTGGGGAAGCACAGGAAGTGTACAGAGCAGCCCTCTAATCACAGAGGGACACTATTCAAGAACACTAATGAAGTGTTACCTCCTTGCTGTGAGAGCAAACCCAACCTAGCATGAACAGCAAAGTGAGCCACTGGTTTGTAATTATGGAGTAGGCATTTAGTAACAACAAAAAAAAAATCCAGAGCAGTCTTTTCTGAACTAACAGCAGAATATTTTCCACGGTCACCATTCCAAACTTGAATGTGCACGCACAACCTGCACAAGCATAGGCTGGGACATTGCACACCCTTTCTTTGACAAAGAGTACTATGAAACCTGGTCCCACCTCAGCACAACAGCTTCTCGTTGAACAAGTTCTGCAAGAAAAGTCTCTTTAAATGGCAGAGAGATGACGGGGAATGAATGCTGTTGTATCCAGAACCCAGCTGCCAGTGTGACAAGATGCCAGTGAGATGTGAGAGCGGGGAGAGAAGATGGGGAAGAAGGAAAGGCTTCAGAGTCAACAGCCCTGCAAAACAGTGACAAGGAACCAAAGACAAGGGTGGGTAAGGTGGTGCCTGTTTCAAGGATCCGATTGTCCTCTTCGGAGGGAAGGACCCCAATGGCTGGCCAGCCAAGTGAGCTCCTCCTTGTGTGATGCAGTGGGGGAAATCCCACTGGAAAGAGTAGGGTCAGCTGATAAGAAAGATCACCGATTTTTACGACAGAGAGAAGCTACCTCAAAAGGATGGTTGCTTATGGACATCCACCTGTACTGGAGAGAAGCATTTCTTTATATGAAGAGTTCAGTAAAAGCAACTAACAAGTGAGAAGCCACACAACAACCAAGGCTTTTAGGGTCCTCTGACACTAAAACTTGTCTGGGCTTTCACTCCTAAACCCACGGAATCCTCCTTGAAGCCAGGTAAGAGAAATTCTGCAAGAATAAAGTTGAGTAGCTTAAACTCACTCCTGGCAACAAAGCTACCTGCCCCAGCTTCCTCCTTGGTCCACGAGTTTTGTAGAACTCCATGTAAATGCTCCATGTAAATCAGGCTGCCCCCGATTAGGACAGGCTCTCTATTTGAAACAACTCCTAAGTCCAGTACCAGTTAAGATAGAAGGAACAAGTGTCAGCTCCCACTCTGTAACAAGGTACAGGTGCACCAGTGCTAGCAAAGCAACGTCTTTGCAACAACTTTGCATCAGCACCATCTGACAGAGTAGGTTGAAAAGGTGCCATAGTGTTGCTGTTAGGCAGCAGAAAACCTGCTGTGAATGAAAATCCTGCTCCTTGGCACTTACATGGATTAGTCAGCCAGGCAGTGAAGAACACAAGACTGCAGAAGGGCAAAGGAAGGCCAGTGTCAAACATTCAACGATCTGCTCAACTGACTAAGAAGCTCCAGAAGCACAAACAAGAGTAGGTCAGCACGTTAAGCTGAAACAGCAGAGTAGCTCAGTGCTGACAGGGGTAGGCTGAAAGACATCAGTCATGGTAAATTGATACAGCCCCATAACAAGCCATGGCAGCGCGAGGGCATGGAATAGTTTTACTGCGTTTCTTCCTTACTTTAAGCAGTTGGATACAAGTCAGAAAAACTTTCCCTGAGGCAAAATAGCATGCCTTCACTCACCAAGCAAGACTGCGCAGCAGGCACATGAACCCAGAAAGTCCAACTGGCACCACAGACAGGGAAGGTAAAGATGAGTAACGCTCTGGTGGGAAATGGGGCCGATCTGCACTGGGCCAGATCCAAGGCAGTGGTCTGAGCCACTGTGGCCAGGCAAATGCTTAGCTGGTTGGGTATCTAAATGGCTGCTAGCCCAGAAATCTAAACACAGCGTACACAAGCAAGCAACTCTGGAGCTTGAGTATCTCCTCATCTAGAAGCAAGCAGTTGCAAGCTGCACTATTCTGAGGTGTGTGGCCTTCTCAAAGGCAATGCAGGCACCTAAACCACAGATCCAAGGGCAAACCTCAGCCTTCACAGTTAAAGACATCTTGGATGAAAGCAGTGATTCCACAACAGAGGAGCAGAAGCTGTACAAGTGTCAAAGTTACAAAGATTTTTCTTCTCAATGTGCAATAAAAATGGTATGTCTGCTTGATATACCATGCCCCGAGCAGAATGCCTGAGGACCTAAAGCATGCCCTCCACACACCTTGCGAGGGAAACAAACTTTCTAGTTTCACAACAGCTTCTAAGTACACACAGTTTTATAACAGAAGCCTGGATTTACCCAAAAGGTAAAACTTCTCCAAGTTTAACTAAATGAATGTGGAGAGAGTTTCAGTCTCCGCACAGTAAGAAATGCTTTCCTCACGCTTGATGAAGAGGAAGCATTGGTTTCAAAGCCCTGAACCATAACTGCTCATATCTGAACAGCTGACTGCACCCTCTGCACTGAGGGTGATCAGGTTCTCCACCATGGAATTTATTTGCAGCTTATGTATCGGAAGACAAATTGTTTCTTGCAATAACTTGCTTAGCCTCTATCATAGGCAGATGCAAGTAACAGGTTTGCTGTTGCTTCTTCCTTGGCATGCTTTAAAAGAACAAAAAACCACCCTTCATTCCTCTAGATCAGAGGGCCAGCTTATGAACTATACTTTGTAAAAAATTAATTATGTCAAATGCAACAGCAGTCACAAAACAACCTTGCAAACTAACAGAGTCAATTAACATTCCACCATTAGAGCCACCAATTGAACACCCCACTACATAGAATTAAATCACAAGTAACATTTTTTTGAAGACCTAAAGTTCGAAGCCTAAGTCCCACATTCAAGAGCTTTTAACTGCTCAGGTCTAACTCAAACTTTCAGAAGCAATTAATTTACAGTCTTCAGAACCGTTTCCCAAACCACTCAGTAAGGATTACAGACTTACAGAGAGTTTTTCAACAATAGCTGCTTTGCCCTGGAACTGCTGTCCTTCCCATGTCAGGCATGATGCATCAATCTGGGGAGGAAGAGAAAAAGAATTGATCAGCCTGCATAAGTAACTTAAGCAGCCCTGGAAGAGACTTTGTTTACTTGGCACCTCTTCTTAGAATCCAGCTCTTTGGAAACCACCTCAACAGGAGATGGAAAGAAACCACAAAGAGTAACTGAAAAAATTTGGAATCATCAACAAGAAATTAAGTAGATTAAATTTTATTATCATGATTCCACCAGCAAAAAAAGTTCCTGCCTCTGGATCAGAGTTAGCTTTCAGAAGGAAATCTAAAGGATACAAAAAAAATCCTATGGACACGAAGTCAAGCACGTAGAGAGACAAAAATCGATGAAGAAATCTGACACAATGAGTTGCACTGCCAGTTGGCTTTTGTTTTGTTTTTTAACTCTCAGGTACTGACTTGCATGCCTTGCTCACACTCAGAAAACCAGAACATGCCTCTAAAGGTCTTCTAACAGACTGCCCTGCATGGCACAAAGCAACTGAGATCCTTCAGCCTACAAGCACTTCCAGTAGATGAGGGAAGGCGTTCTGAGCATGCCAGGTCAGGTACAACAGCAACAGGCAAGCAGCTTTCTATTCAGCTTTAGAAACTTGGTTTAATCCAGAGTCACAATATCCTATTGGTGACATAGGTCTGCTTTCTCAAATCCAATTTTAAACCCTGGCAAGCAGACTTAAATTTGAATTGGCTTCCACTGAGCTCAAAGCCTGCTGCCATCTCCAAACAGCACCCTAACCCTCTACCTGACAGCCCGAGTTCTCATGCACTCCTTCCACCTTTTTCAGTTTAAATACATCCAGGATCATGATTCCCAGCTCTTTCCCATCTCATCTGCAACTCTCATTGAAACTCTGAAGGCCTCAGCAGAAAATGGCAGATTCCAAAGAACTCCATTTGTAGGCTCTCTGGTAGATTTTCCAGGCCCTATTTTTGAACCACACCATATCAAAAAGCCACTTCTTGCAGCCAGGTGTGGTGTGCTGAACCCGCACAACAGTCACAACCACACTAAAAAAAAAAAGCTTCTGGTCCTCCACGTATCATCAGAAGGAACTACAGAGTGCAGGAGCCAGAAGAACAAAGAAGGGCACCAGGGGCAACAGCATGAAGCGTTTCAGGGTCACAGATGCAACCAAAAGCAGTATGAAGAGCCCCTGAATCCAGCATCCTCTCGACTTCAGACACATCCCTTTTAGGAGGAAATAGGCTTAATTTAGATTGTGTAGTCTGAAGTCACTGAGCAAGTCATCTGGCTGACAGTACCTCCATCTTACATGACATCAACCCCTGACATCGATAACTTGAGAAGCCAGGTGATGGTACCAGGGAATGAGGCTGTCCTCTCAAGCCTGCACATTACAACCTTCAAATATGGAAAGCCACAAAAGCGGAGAGGACCCACAACTTTCCTTACTGAATCCCCTTCAGCGATCAGCAGGTGAGCACACAGTGGTGCAGGACCCTCCTGACATTTCAAAGAGTAGCAAAGGACACAGATTAAGCTGGAGAGGGAAATGTGCTGTTCCTGAAAAAACACACTGCAACTTCACATGGTACCTAATTAGCGTCCACCTGACACTCTGCTAGAGGTTACCACTCACTGTATCAGCAGCTTGGGAGCAACTGGTTCAAGAACAGAAAGCATCCCCTCCTCTACCCTGAAAGCCCTACAGATGAGAAAACAGCATGAAAATAAGAAAATATTTCATTATAAGTAGCCACACACCCAAAGTGGAGGAAGTAGATACAGCATTTTTCCTGCAAAACAGCTGCAGGGGGGATAACTACAAAACAAGTCTTTGACTTAGTGCTCCAATTCACATAGCTCAAGCAATTCATAAAAAAAGTGGGAGGCCCAGGTCTCCCACCTGGAATAGATGACAAAAGCTCAACTGGCCTGGATTACACCACTAAAGGAGAAAACTGCACCTTGGGGTGGAAGTAGCAATACAGGAACGCAAAACAAACCCAAGAGCTCCCTGCTGTGCTCCTGCATGCTATAAAATTTGTCAGTTCCCACGGGGTCTCGGAAGGCAAAAAGCTCATCAGTAAAAGCACATTTCTGCAGAACCTGCTCTAATTTAGACAAGTTGTGACTTCGGTGCATTATGGCTGCACTTGGTGCGTTTTGGCCTTTCAGTGCTTAAAGGGTGCCCATAGGAAAGGTGGGGACAGACTTTTTAGCAGGGCCAGCTGTGACAGGACAAGGGGTTATGGTTTTAAACTAAACCAGGGTAGGTTTAGACTAGATATAAGGGAGAAATTCTTTACACTGAGGGTGGTGAAACACTGGAACAGGTTGCCCAGAGCCATAGTGGAGACCCCATCCCTGGGAACATTCAAGGCCAGGTTGGACGGGGCTCTGAGCAGCCTGATCTAGTTAGCGGTGTCCCTGCTCCCTGCAGCGGGGTTGGACTAGATGACCTCTAAAGGTCCCTTCCAACCCAAAACATTCTGTGATTCTATGAAAACAGGGCCCCATCCTCCACAGTTAAAGAACTCCACAAAAAATACACATTGGTGACCTGCATAATAGCTCTCCTGACTACATCTGCATAGGTATCTCCATTGAATGATGATAGGCAGAAAGACCCTAAAGGGTGAAAAAAGCCCAGGAGTTCATTGTATGGAAGGAATGGGAATTTAAATTAGACTGTACTTCACCCCAGTCTTCTGAGGACTGAATGTGTTTTAGTAACGATATGACAAAAACTGCTAAGTGTCTTCATATTTAGAGCCATGGCTTGAACGCAGGCTACTTGGTTTTCTTGCTTTATAGGCTCTCTGTACACAGCTTTTTGGCCAAAATAAGGCAACAATCTAGCAGACAGAAAATACCACTTGCTCTTTGGATTGTTGTGTATCAGAGCTGATTGATACTGCTGAGGTATAAGGAGGGGTTTTGGATGGTGTTCATCCAAAAGTTCCAGTCCTCAAGAGCTTGGCGAAGCTTCAACCAGCAGATGAAAAACAGGTCAGAAGAACAGGATGTGTGGCTGGAAGACTTGTAAGACTTGAGTGTCTTGCTGAAACGCCTCAGCTACCTGGCAGCATTCCTCAACACCAGTAATCAATGCGACATGCAGAGCATTTTGCATGTTCTGGAGGAGCCTTCCCCCAAAACTAAAAGCTGATATTCCTTGGATTCGTTAGTTACAGTCTTTAATTTTGGAAACCAAATCTATTTTGCCCCAAATAAGGAGCCAAAATAAAAACCTAATTTTTGAAGAAATTTAAACTGAATTTAACAAAGTCTAACTATTTAAACTGTATTCAAAATTTTAAATCTATTTTAATGTTCTGAGGATTAATATAGCATGAGATCCAAGAAACACCTGCAAGAACTGCTAAACACAGAGTAGGCCTTGAATCATATCCCACATCAGGAGGGATCCAAGCAAATCCACGCCGGTAAATTAATGGCAAACTAAGGCTAATGTATGTGCTTTTATAGAGAACTTCATCACAGGATCACCACCAGCCTCCTCCCCTACAAGCCACTGTCTACAGCCAGCTGGGGGTTTTCCGAGTCTGACTACCTACAGATAAGGCATACAAAGCTCAAAATGGAAGTGAAATGCAAAAGAAGTACAATAAATAAAAGTCGTGTAAGTGTGATTGCACTGACTGACGCTCTGGAGTCAGGATAAAACCCGCCATCCCATCCTGTGTTTTCCCACACATCAACATAGAGAAACCTAGACAGATAATGAAGGCAAGCCCCCGGCCCCCTTTTTGTAGATACTTACATATATTGCTCCTAACTGAGTCCTGTCTGCATCAAAAAGCTGGTAGTAATGTTGTACGAAGCTGGACCCAATCTGCTCCCAGATAGGCTTGTCTCCCATTCTGAATCCTCACCTAAAGCCAGTGACTGTAAAACAAACAAACAAATCATCAGAAGGAACAATCACACAAATAAGCATAGCACTTGGATGGAGTATTAAGCACCAGTCAACACAGATCCTCTCAGCTGGCCAGAATTTGTCTTTGGAAGAAGTAGGACAAATCTCACCTCTGCATCCCAGACTTCCATGAAATAAAAATCTCGGATACTAAATGGTTTAACTTCTTATCACGGTACCTGCTGATTTCTAGAGCTATTTCAGTGTGAGGTCACAACTTGCGAACAAAAGCGGAGAACAAGAACAAAAATTACTAAGTGTTACCTTCTCATATTCACTGATTTAAAGAATTACACCATCTGAGAAAGTTGGCAAGCACTTGCTATTTTGACTCAATCTCCTTTACTGTAAACAACTGCCAGGTTAATATGGATTGTCGGCAAGTGGCTTCCACCACCCGATTTATCTATGCAGCT